AGGAGGAGGAAGGAGGAGGAGGAAGAGAAAGAGGAAGAGAAGGAGGAGGAGGAGGAGGAGGAAGAAGAGGAAGAAAGAAAGAAAGAAAGAAAGAAAGAAAGAAAGAAAGAAAGAAAGAAAGAAAGAAAGAAAAAGAAAGAAAGAGGAAGAAGACTAATGTCAGTTTTAAAGGCTGGCCAGATAGCTTAGCAGACTAAAGCACCTGCTTAGGCAGAGCGCAGTGGATGGGGCTCATCTCAGGCCTGCACTGAGATGGATTAAGACTGGGTGTGGTGACATGCACCTCTAATCCCAGTGCTTGGGAGGCTGAAAACAGGAAGATTACTACTGTGTAGTGAGAACCTGTACTAAATACATTAAAAAAAAGAAATACTAATGTAAGTTTTATTATCATGTTATATTAATATAACTCATGTATGAATATTCCTATCATCCTGGGACTACATAAAACCAATCATCCCAACTTATAGTCTAGGTTTTAAGAACATGAGTCTTGGGCTAGGGATATAGCTCAGCAGCATAGCACCTGCCTGGCAAGCACAAGGTCCTGAGTTTGATTCCTGGTACAAGAAAAAGAAAAGAATGTGAGTCTTTCTGGAAATCAACTTTACCTTTGGCAACCCATCCTAAGGAATCACATCACTGCTTCCTACCTATGGGCCAGGACCAGCAAATACAAATTTAGAGTAACACAGATTTGTCTTGAGGAGGAGAGATTTTGATGCCTTTGACCTATCTATCACACAGATGGTTTTAAAGCCAGTCAATGCTTTCCAACATACTATTCTATAAGAGATAGTTACCTTAAGTTAAGAACTTAAAATATGCAAGGTAGTAGGTAACACAGAATGTTGTGAAGAGTCAGGTTTTCCTTTCGGATGGACTTGGTTCTGCCATTCTGTAGCTGTGTGACCTTGGGCAAAGAATTTTTCTTCTCAGCCGGATCTCCATCTGTTAAACAGGACTGACAACTTAGTGCTGTGCCTGTCACAATGATCTCAAGAGCATCATAAAATTGTCTTGAGAAATTAATACTGCTTTTAGTTTTTTTTCTCTGTTTTGTTTGAGAGACAAATTCTTGCTATGTAATCTAAGCTACCCTTAAACTCGCTATGTAGCACAGGCTGGCCTAGAACTCAAGATCCTTCTGCCTCAGCCTCCTCAGTGCTGGGATTAGAGGTATGTGCCACCATGGCTGGCCAGAAAAGTTATTATTAATATTGCTAAAAGAACAGTTACCAGTTCACATACTGAATTAACTTACCTTTGAAAACCATAAAAAGCACTGTACCTTTTCAAAATTAAACATTGTGCTAAGTAAAACTAATCCTTAAAGTTATGCCTGTTTTTTTTTTTTTGTTTTTTTTTTTTCTCGGATTTTGGGCACTTAAAAAGACTAGATAAAACGCCAAGAAATTAAAGGATTTTTGATACACAGAAATACTTTTTAAATAAAAATTTTCCTTTAGAATAGTTTTTTTTTAAGAATAGTTTTAAACTCAGAAAAATGTATAAATATATATACTACAGAGATCCTATACATCCCATACCCAGTTCCCGTATTATAGCCCATAGCACTTACATTTTGTTAGTTATGATGGGCAATCTAGAGATGATTAGTTTCCCCTGTATGAGCAGCTGAAATACACCATTTTATAAAAGGGACTTGCTTGAGCATCACTTTGGAACCCTTGGGGCGGGGACTAGAAACCAATTCCCCAGGTCACCGAGTGACAACTGCATATTGCCTAAGCTTCTCACAATATTATCTGACAACCCAAATTAATTCTATGAAAAAAACATGAAAGTATTTCTCAGAATTATCAATTATATATTTTAAAGATTCAGAATATCTCTAGTTCATTTTCCTTTCTTTATTAGGGAGAGCAGTGACAGGCTGTGAAAGCAGCTTACAACCACACAGCTATGTGTGACATGTTCCCACTGCCCGTGCCTGTCTGGGAACACCCTGTTGTCTTGGTTTAACATTCCTTTACTCCAACTGCACTCTGCTTTGAACAATAAAGCATGCAGTCACCTTTCTTGCTCTTCTAAGGAACTGTTCTCTCAAGCTACCATAGTAGAGGTTAAACCACAGCATACCAAAGAGATTCCCTAGAAAGGGCTTACGTGCACAAGAGTTACTACCCATATAGTTACTTCAGAGAGGAATAGATTGACAGGTACAAACCTTTTGGAGATAAGGCCATATTGACATTATCACAATAGAAAACCCTGTAAAGAGAAAAACTTTGTTACTTATAATTATATTTTAATCAGTATTACAAAGAAAACTGGAACTATAGCATGGATTTTAAAATACCATCCTGCATCTACAAATATATGTACATACATCCTTAATTTATCAAGCAATGAGATTTCAACTATCAGAAGAAAAAATAAACATTAAAGGTTTGAAAAAAACATGGAATTTTATTCTCTGAGGAATAATAAAAGTCGAGGCCCTATTTCTCCTCGTTAATATATCTTTATTACAAAATAGAAATTACTGAGAGTTTGAAGTTTTTATAGTAGAAATAAATGAGAGAAAGGCCACACTGTTATAAAGGGCTAGCCTGACAGTCTGTGTTGTTTGGAAGAAAGAATTCACTATAGAAGGGATAAGGACATAGAAAAACATTCATCTAAATAAAGGAAGCAGTTGCTATAAAGAACTGGAATACTTCAAGATCACTATCCCTTAAAAAAAAATCGATGATCTTTGCTACCCTTTACTGCTTAAGAACTGTTATGATAACTGCAACACCATTTGTTAGTTTTCAACAATAAAGCCAGAGATTTTAAAAAGCCTACTCTCAAAATAGACTTATTGAGATACAATTCACAAGCCATGCAATTTACCCTTTTAAAGCACACAATTCAATGGATTTTAGCATAATCATAGATGGGTGCAAACATCATTGTTGATCTCAGAACACTTTTGTCATTTGAAAGAAATTTGGAAATTCTCACCTTGAGATGACCTTCAATCTTCTTTCCCACCAACCCAAAGCAACCCAACCACCAATGTTCTTTCTACAGATGTTCCTTTGAGATGAATAGGCTCACATCTGTGGTCTATGTCTGGCTTCTTTCTTTTAGTACAGTGTTTTCAAGATTCTTCTATGTTAACATATGTCAGCAAGCACTTCATTCCTTTTATAAAACCTTGTTTTTAAAGATTGTAGTAGTTTCATTCCTATGTCTTTTGAATTGACAAACTGATTTTGATGAATAAAAGGACTGAAAGACTGAAATCAAGATAACAGTTTTGCAATAAAGAAACATGTAAACAAAATGTTCAACATGTCAATTAAGAAAAATTAAAAAAAAAAAAAAACTACATAAAGGCAAAACGTAGGGTTGTATAGCTCAATGGTAGGTCCTTGTCCATCATGCTCCACAGCCTGCGCGCAGTACCTAGCACAGCACGTGTGTGCACACAGGACACAAGCAGGGGAACTAAAGATAACTGTTTTGGGGGGGTTTTTTTCTGTTAAAATGTAATTGTTTCTTAAATAACTGAAACAAAAAACTGTAAATGGCAAGGCACAGTGGACATGCCTGTAATCTGTTTCTGGGGTGGGGGTGAGTGGGGCAGAAAATTACAAATCTGAAACCAGCCTGGCCACTTAGTGAACCCTTGTCTCAAAAATTTAAAAAGGGATGGGGATAAGGGAGCTCAGTAGTAAAGTACCTGCCCAGCATCCTCAAGGCTCAGGTTCAATACCCAGTACTAAAAACAAAACAACCAAGAACTGCACATCTACACATTCATAAACAAAGCTAAAAGAAGCCCAGTGTAGTGGTGCACCACTGTAACTCAAGAAGCTGAGGCCGGAAGATTGCTGAGTTCGAGGCTACCTTGGGCTATGTACTGAGTTCAAGGCCATCCTGAAATATATAGCAAGACCATCTCTCAAAAAACAAAAACTACAAATTAATCTTGGTGTGGAGTGCACACCTGTAATCCCAACACTTTGGGAGCCTGAGATAGGAGGACTGTAAGGTTAAGCCTAGCTTTGTGACTTAGCAAGATCCTCCTTTACAATTTTTTTTTCTTTTCGGAACCGGGGATTGAACTCAGGCCCTTGCACTTGCCAGGGAAGCGCTTATTCTACTGAGCCATCTCCCCGGCCCCGACTTAGCAAGATCCTGTCCCAAAATTGAAAAAAAAATTTTTTTTAATTAAAAGGCTAGAGATTCAGCTCAGTGTCAAAGCCCTGAGTTCAATCTCCAGTTCATCGCCCTCCCCATCCCCTGCAAAAAAAAGATGGTGAGGATGTGGAAAAATTGGAACCCTGCATGTTGGTAGGGATGTAAAATGATAGAGCTGTCATGAGAATTCCTCAAAAAATAAAAAATAAAATCATCATATGATTCAGCAGTTTCACTTCTAGGTATATAGAAGAACTAAAAGCAGGATCTTGAAGAGCTATTTTCACATGCATGTTCATAGCAGCACTATGCACAATAACTAAGAAGTAGAACTAACCAAATGTTACCGACAGATGAATGGATAAACAAAATGTAGTATATTTTGAAGGGGATTGGACTATGTCATCCCCAATATATGTTTCTTTGGCACACTGATTATGTTGAGCTGAAGGCAACCGAAGAACAGCAGAGGATGGATGTAGTGGTACAGGCCTGTAATCCCAGCACTCTTGAGACTGAGACAAGAAAAGGGAGTCTGAGGCCAGCCTGGGCTACAAAGCAAGTCTGAGATCAACCTGAACTACACAATGATACCCTGTGACAAAAGGAGACACAGGCACACAGACACAGAGAAAATGAGTAAATATAAAGGAATGAAAATAAACAGTGAATGCAAAAAGGGGTCTTTCTCCACTCCCTTTCTGCTTTAAAGGAGGGTATAAATTTTTCTCCTGATCCCAAAAAGACAATATTTTTATCACCAGAGATAGGGGATTCTATATCGAGATGTGTCTTTGCATACAATTTTTACTGATCACCGCTATCTTCCATTAGTCTCCCCATTTACTGCTTTTCACTTTCCCATAATTTAACGCCTATAAAAACCTTTGCCCATTCTTTTCCTAATTTATCACTCTCATATTATATAAACCTATTAATGGCAAATCTGAATGCTTCTCCTGCAATCTGTCTTTGTCAACTTAAATCATAGGCCTCAGGCACCAAAGAGGACGGAGGAAAAAGTTTCTGTCATCTACACTGCACTGCTCTTCAGCCTTAAAGGGAAGGGAGCAGGATAGCTTGTATAACTGCACTGTTCATTTCTGCTGGTCTCTCATAAGGAGCAGCTAATGCTTAAATTTTTCTTTTAATTTCTTATAACTTCTTTTAATCCAATTTTGCATGTTTGTATCTGATTATTTAAACAATTAATTTGAAGATAACATTATATAACAACTATTGTTGAATTTCAATTATTTTGTTTAGTGAAAATTTGTATTGTCTCTAATGTTATTTTTTAAAACTATTTGGTATTCTCTTTAAAAAAATTTAAAAAAATAATTTAAGAAAAAGGGAAAAGAAAGCCAGGTACAGTGATACATGCCTGTAGTCCCACAAGCTTAGGAGGCAAGGCTCAACTGTGTGCATGAACTCAAGACAGTATAGGCAACATAGCAAAACATGTCTCAGAAAAATAAAAATTCTAAAAAAGCCAAGCATGATGGTAGACAAGTACATTCCTAGACCTCAGGAAGCTAAGAAAGGAAGAGCACAAATTGGAGGTCAGCCTAGGTTACATAGTCCAGTCCAGGCTTAAGGTCAGCCTGGACTACATAACAAGACTGTATTAAAAAAATTTTAAAAATTCTGTCACATGCTACAACACAGAAAAATCTCAAAGACATAATGGTACATGAAATAACCTAGTTGCAGAAAAAAATACCATATATTCCCACATATATGAGGTATCAAGAGCAGAGAAATACACAGAAACAAACAGTAGAATGTGATTGCTAGGGATCAAGGGAGAGAGAAAGAAGAAATTATTTAGTGTGTATAAAGCTTTGGTTTTGCGAAACAAAATGACAAAGTTTTAGTTTTGTGAGAGAAAATATTCTAAAGCACAGGTGTCCAATTTGACCTGCCTGAGCTGTACTGAGTGAAGAACTGTCGTAAGCCACGTATAAAACATACAATAATGTACACAAGTAACAATACCTCCTGTATTGTTACAGGCCACTCCTGTTTCATAGGATGGTTGTATAACATGAATATACTTTATACTACCAAACTTAGAAATGGTAAGGTGGTAAATTTAGTTGTTTTTATTTTTTGTCTTTTTGAGACAGGGTTTTGTTGTGCAATTTAGGTCAGCCTTGAACTCACTTTGTAGCCCAGGCTGGCCTCAAACTCACAAACTCCTGCCTCAGCTCCAAGTGCTGGGATTACAGATGTGCACCACCGTACACAACCTGTTACATATTTTTGGCACAATACAAATAATCTTTCTTTCTTTTTTTTTTTGTATTTTAGGGAAGGATCTGCAGGGTGTTCAGGGTCTCCATTGCCGCCTCAGCATGCCCCGGGGGCCGGGCCAGCAAGGCAGGCCGAGGTATTGAGACCTGCTTGCAGGCACTTTAATCTGCTGAGCTATTTGGCCAGCCCCCCCCCTTTTTTTTAACTTTTTTTTTGACATTTTGTATGAATTTTAAAATTATGTGTAATTTCTAATACTTACCTACACTGCTGAGAAACATAGTAAGATAAAGAATCCTAATAGATCTCCATCGGCTCTTATAATGCTCTTGAGTTTCTATAATGTCCCACTCTCTAGGAGTAAAGAAGAAAACAGTATAGATTGAACAACTATAATCTGAAATTCCAGAATCCAAAATGCTCCAAAATCTGAAACTTTTCAAGCACTGACACACCACAAGTGGAAAATCCTACACCTGCCCTCCTATGATGGGCAGATGTAAGTGCATTAAAAATATTGTATAAAATTAACTTTAACATTCCAAAATTTTAAAAAGCCCCAAATCCAGTATCTGACATACTTGTGGTCCAACAATTCAGATAAATTTAAAAAGGCTGCAAACGCCCAGCAACTACTGAACGGATAAGATTTTTTTTTTGTCTTCAATATTTGAGATTTTATTGGTTGTGTTAAGGATCAGTACACAATTCACTTTGTACACAATTCGTTTTTGTTTTTTGGCAGAACCGGGGATTGAACTCAGGCCCTTGCAATTGCCAGGCAAGTGCTTATTCTATGGAGCTATCTCCCCGGCCCCTGTACACAATTCTTACCACACATACCAAAAAAAGCCGTGTATTCATTTTTCAGTTATCCCAGTGACTTTCCAGCTTCAAATTTAGAGGCAAATTTTCTGTACAAGGTTTAAGTGCCAGTATCTTCAAATGCTGACAAAGTATTACTTAAGTCCCACCAATTCACAATTGTGTATCACATACACTACATATTCAAATTTTTGATCTTTCACAGCACATTAACAAAATGAGGCAAACAGGACTACCACTACCAAAGATGTAACAGAGTGCACACCGATTCTGACAGGGCAACAATTTGGAAGTAGTTTTTTGTTTGTTTGTTTGTTTTTGCTTTTTGTTTGTTTGTTTTGCAGAACCAGGGATTGAACTCAGACCCTTGCACTTGCTAGGGAAGCGCTTATTCTACTGAGCCATTTCCCCAGCCCCCAGAAAGTTTTCTTTAGAAAACAGTTCTACTAAAAACATGTGAACAGAAGTCATTTAAAGTATCCAAGACATATTAAATGCATGACTGTAATTCCAAATTGCCATTTAGTATGCTTTGTATTGCAGGAGATAAAACCAACCCTCACATATGCTTCTATAAAGAAGGATAAGACATTTCTAGGTAAATGGATGCACCTTGAAACCATTCTAGGGCCAGCCAAATAGCTCAGCAGATTAAAGCGCCTGCCCCACCCACAGGACACGCTGAGGCGGCAAGGTGGCAGAAGCCTGTAATCCCAGCTTTTGGGAGGCTGTAAACAGGCGAATTACTACGAGTCCGATCTAGTAGTGAGACCCTGAACACTCTGTAGACCCTTCATTAAAATACAAAAAATGCCAGGGAGATGGCTCAGTGGAATAAGCGCTTCCCTGACAAGCACAAGAGCCTGAGTTCAATTCCCAGTTCTGCCAAAAAAAAAAAAAGAGAAACCATTCTAAGTGGTAAAATAAATTGGACACATGCATGTAAATACCACATTGTTTCTCTGGTGTGAGGAAATAAAATTGTAAATAAGGACCAAAATGTGTAACAGGAGAGCTGGTGAGATTGCTCACTGAACAAAACACTAGCTTTGGCAAGTGCAGGGACCAGGGTTGAATTCCCTGTCCTACAGGCGGTGCCGGCGCCGCCCCCGGGGTATGCTGAGCCAGCAACAGAGTTTGGCTAAGTTGGCACATGCCTGTAAACCCATTACTGGAGAGGCTTAAAACAGGAGGAACACCACGAGTCCGGATCTGAGTGGTGAGAGACCCTGTACCAAATACAAAAATGGGGGGAAAAAAAGTGTAACAGGTATTATAAATCAGGAAGAAAATGTTCAAATGGAGAGGCAAAAAAGGGAGGGGGAAAAGGTTTCTTGTTTTGTTTTGTTTTTTTTAAATTTATTTGTGTGTGTGTGTGTGTGTGTGTGTGTGTGTGTGTGTGGCCAGCTCAGGCCACCAGGGGGCGGCGCTGGCTGGCATGTGGTGCTGGGGGATTGAACCGAGGTCCCTGTGATTTGCTAAGCTTGTTCTAAATAGGTGCTTTAGACCACTGAGCCATCTCACCAGCCCCGGTTTCTTGTTTTTGAGGGGTAGATAAAACATGAGAAAAGAAGGAAAAAATGGAAACAAAGCTTTTGTAAATAAGGAGGGGAGTAGGGGTTGAAGGGAGGGTAAGGGAATAGAAAAAAAAGAATCCAATTATATCATGTACAGGTGTAAATCCTCTACAATGAGTGTGATCATTATATGTACCTAAAATATACTAATAAAATCTGACTGGAAAAAAATCTACAGAGGTTGCATATCCCTTATCATATTATGAGAACTTTGTGCTATTCATTTTATTCTCATCCCTAATGCTATAAAAATGGTATGACGGGTATAATTTAATAATATTAGTTTCAGCTGCACTGATCTATCTGTGAATAAACACTACTGCTTTATGATTGTATTCATGCATCACTGTATATACTTAGGAGACACAGATACCTTTAAAAAGCAAAACACTGAACTGGGCAGTGGCTCATGTCTGAAAAGCTCGCACTCTGGAGGATCACTGTGAGTTTGACACCAATCTGGGCTACAGAGTGAGTTAAAGGACAGCCTAAACTACGTCGTGAGACTCTGTCTTAAAAAACAAAACAAGCAAGTAAATCTTTTACGTAGGCTTAATTTGGACAGGGTTACTGAATGTGCAAGGTACTTTAAGAAGACATGTAATATGGTTAAATGTAGGCTTATGATTCAAGAATTCTGCAATCTGTCCAGAAAACAGAAAAGAAAAATCAAACAGGATTAAGAAATCCAAATGTCACAAAGTCTGTGAACTCAAACTTACACACTTTAGGAGAGATCTGTAACCCTCATTAGCATCCTTTAACTACAGGTATTTCTATCAAGATACATACGTGATGTCAAAGCCACAGCAAACTAGAAGTTCTAAAAAGAAATATAAGAGAGCTTGCTCAGAGGAAAAAAAATAAAGAAAACCAGGAGCTGCTGAGAGATTTCAAAAATGTCAGCAATAGAACAGGCAAATAAAAGTAAACAGCTAACATAAACACTTTAAAAGTGCAGAACCCAATAGTCCCAAATGTCTCGACTGGCTTAAAGGATAGATATCACTCTATCAAAACAGATTTCAGTCAGTACTGATGTCTTTGTTCAGAGATACGGTCTCACAACGCAGTTCACGCTGGCCTTGAACTCACTTAGTAACCCAGGCTGACCTTGAACTCACAGCCATCCTCCTGACTCAGCCTCCTAACCTGGCAACAATGATGTTTTTTTTGGGGGGGGGGTCCAAGATTTTTATTTTTTTTCCATAATTTCATTAAGAAACAAATAGCAATGAGACAGTTTCAAACCAAATTGGTAGGACAGTTTCAATAATTAACACACTGCATACATTCTTCCTAGTGGTTATTTGCTGTACAAGCTGCAGACATGATATCCTATCTACAAACACTATTACAACAAATCCCTCTATTCATTAAGAGAATGTAACTATATATCTATCCTAACCATTCTGAATACACAGATACAAAATGGACGTTCATCTATATCCCCTTTTTTTGTTTAGTTTCGTTATTTGAATATTATAGGTGTGTTAACTCAGCAAAATATTCTAAAAAGAGTCCAGTAGTCCATAATACTATTGGGTCTTCTACTTCACTGGCAATGTCAGAAATTGTTGACCTCAGTCCCCTACAGCTCAACATAACAGCATGCACTGAAGAAGGCAATTTGTAATAGTAGGTTCATGCTTGGAGTGCCTGTCATTCAGGTCTTCTGAATACGGGCTGCTTGTCATGACATGCCAGTTACTGCTGTGCTGTCTCTCGGATAGATGATTGTTCAAAAAGAAGGGGATGGTGAGTGAAAGCAGGAGACAGGAAAAGGAATGTTGTGGGACTGTCCTGCTTCAAGGTTGTATATGGTTAGATTTCTGGACATATGTGTAAACATAAGAATTAAATAATTCTTTATGCCTATTTTTAAAATATATTTTAATTTTTAAATGTTTTTTCATCATGATCTGTAGGGACTTAAAGTTCAACATATCAATACTTGATGAAAAATACCTGTTCCATATTATGCCTAAGATGTTTGATATTCAGACAGTGAGGTCAAGCTTAACAGCCTAGGTTGTATGGTAATAACAATAAGCTTCTCTTCTGGAGGGTTAACAACCTAGGTTTTCAGACCAAAATTGGAGAAAAAGGAGGGCTGCAAGGAAAGCCAACATTTTGGACCTAGCCTTCCACGGTCAATTAAGACTCAGGATATATGAGAACTTGTACTGTAATGTCATGTAACTCAGTAGTGTCCCAAATTTTCTGATCAAGGAGATTATGGGGCCAAAGAGAAAAGTGATTGATGATGTAGAGTGTGCCTAAGGAGAGTCACATGGAGAGAAAACGTTCTCTCAGGCTTTCACAGATAGCACAATAGCCAAGCAATGGCCATGACTCATCCACATGGCTGACACTGACAAAGGATCTACAATCTGAGGTACAGGATCTCAGGATAAATCCTGAGGAGATTTCACTGACCTTATCAGACTCAAAAGCTACAACTCTTGTTGCATAGGTCTTGCTTTATCTTGGTCTTAAACATCCAGCAGAAAAGTATAAAAACGAATTATAAGAAGTAAAGCAATGATGTTATTTTAATGATCTTAAGACAACATCAAGTAAAGACAAGACAGGGCCAAGTGTATAGCTCAGTGGCAAAAGTGCCTGTCTGGAAAGCCTTTGCAAGGTCCTGATTTGATCTCTGGTAACACACACAAAAAAGATAAAACTGTATTCTATATTTTTGTTGAGTAAGTCAGGGGCCAGAGAAATACATTTTCCAAAGGGTTTCAATAATAGTGATTAAAATAAAAATTTGATGCTGAAAGATAAGCAAAACTTATGATTCAGACAATTTAATTGTATATCTGAGTTAATTTACTTGATACAATCATTATTTGTTTCAAATAAAATATTTCCGTAAAGGTAAAAATAGATATTTAAGCGTGAAAGTGCAAATGTTTCTTAAATACTGTAAAAAAACTAGGATCAAAATTTTTTAAATCATATGGATCAAAATATTGTTATCCCTTCGATAGGTAGCAGTTTTTATTTATACCTTTTACACACAACAGTGAGCCCATTTATTAGTACCACAGATTTAGTCTGTATCAAGAGATATCAGATAATTACTAACACCGATCTAACATCTTCACACACCGATTAAAACCATTCCAGAAAAATAAAAAATAAAACCATTGCTGAACTTTTAATTAACAAATGTGGAAAACGATCAGCTAATGCAGTGGTGTAGCTGCTGCAAGACCCCAATAGCTAAAGTCAAAGAGATAGCTTGGATTTCACCAACATCTCTGTGAAACTAACAAAAGAAGGAGTTGGAAGTAGGTAAGAAAAAATTCTCAAGCAGTAACATCAAAATTGTACAGGACGTATCTTGCAATACGCCTACTCCGGCGGTGACTTGCATCTACCTACGACGCTCCTTTCTAATTAGCTCACCTGAAGGATTCCGTCTTTAATAAAAGAATCCCCTTTCTCATACTCTCCCAGGTACCTTATCGTCTGCGGTCGCAGACAACTCATTTATTCTGCCTGTCTTCTTTTTAGACTGAGAACCCGAAGCCCGGCTTGTGCCTTTCCCTCTAGATGCAGAGCTGGGAGCACGGCCGCTAGGACACGTCTCGGCAGTTTCAGCCCAGGGCAGCTGACGCAGGAAGGGCGCCATTCTCCATAGCGTAGGGTTAGGTGTCACTTCACCAGCACCATCTCACCTGCTTCCGGGTGTGTGGTCGCCTAAGAGCGGCTCGCGCTCAGCCTCGACTCCCGGACTCGCCATAGCGCCAACCCCTCAACTCTCGCGATATCTACTCTCTCTCTAGTTCCCCGCGACCTGAAGCCGTCAGAATAAGCGTGAAAATGCGCGCGCGCGTGCGCTCGTGTACCCGGCGGCAGGAAGTGGGCGGGGCGTCCCGGGGTCAGAGGTGGAGTCTCGCGGGAGGCGGGGCTTCTTTGGGTGGGAAGGAGTAGGGGCGGGACCCTATGCTCAGGGCCTCCACCCTGAGTCCGCCCCTGCCGGCCTACCCGACTGCACCGAGACAGCCGAACACCTTCGGGGGCGTTGCCGAAGCGGCCGCTTCCCGCCCCCGCGCGGTCCTTCTACCAGCGCCTCGCGGCGGCTCGCCAGTCTATCCGCTGTTCCTCGAGAGGCTGTGGCACTTGCCTTTGACCTCTGACCAGAGTCGAGTCTCAGAAGCCTCGAGAGCGGCGGCGCTGGGAACTCGGCTCACTGGAGGCCAGACGTTTGCTCGCGGCCAGTAAGTAGCGGCCGCGCCAGGCACCAGTGTGCTCCGCGCGCTGCGTACGTGCGGCGAGGCAGGGGCCGGGCGCGGCGGGGTCGGGGTCGGGGCCGGGCCGGGGTCGGAGAGAGCGGCAGCGTCTGTCACTGCCTGCGTCCGAGGTGGAGGTGGCAGCGGCTTCCAGTTCTCCGGCGCGTAACTACGGCACACCTTCACCTGCAGCACCTCACCGTGGCTGCCCCAAAGCTTCGGAAACTCGGCCTTGCCCCTGTGAGATGCCTCTGGGAAGGGCAGAGCCTGCTCCTAGAGCGTGGGGCAGCCACACAAGGAAGACGGCAATTTTTAAAAACCAGGGTATTTTCTCTGCCACTAAGTGCTGCTTCCTACTTGGTCTTTTCAATTAACGCCTTATCCCTACAGCCAGGCTCATAGGCTGATTGATGGCAGTAGTCAGCCTGTGTTTCTCCTGAAGTAACGTTTTATTATCGCCGGCTATATTGTCGTGTGATTTCATTTGATCATGACTTTTCCATGAGATAGATGTGCAGCGCACGAATTTCCGTTTGACCAAGAACTGAGATGCAGAGAGGTTAACTACCTAGAGTCACGCTGGACATGACAAGAGTTGGTACACTAACCCAGTTCTAATATTTATAACCTAAGCCAGGTTTCCTACTAGTTACATGCTGTGTGTGGCATTGCTGTCTCCTCTAATCTTTATCTCATTGGTGACCGTCTGTGTATCCAGTCAAGTAAACAGCCACGTTGGAGATGGTAAACAGCTAAGTTGGAGGTGATTTCTGTTCAGAAGTAAATTCATTTGTAACACCATACAAAAACATCAGAGTCCAGTGATTGGCAGGTAATGTTGCCTCACTCCAGAGGCTAGCATAGCAGTATATGTCACAAATATAGTGGACAAAGGAACTTTAACTTTGCACCAAACAAAAACGATACGCATCTCTATATGATATTGATTAATTATATAGGAATATATGTGATTAGTGCTTATTAAATTAAAATTTCCTCGGTTTTTTTTTTTCTTTCTTTGTTTTCTTTCTTTCTTTCTTTTTTGCTGTAGTGGCTATTGAAGTCAGGACCTTGTCCATGTCAGTCTGGTGCTTATGCCGCTGAGCTGTCTCCCCAGCCCAAAACTTCATTTCATTCCCACATTCTTTGAGGTAGGAATTGGAAAATTGTATCAAATAGAGAAGACTATTGAAGTAACTTGTATAGATCACTATCTAAGAAACAGCCACCTAAATTTGAGTGTGACAGTAGAAACTCACTTTGGGAGGCTAAGGCAGGAGGATTCCAAATTCAAACCCAGTTTGGACAGCTTAGGGACTTGACAAGACCTTATTTAAAAATTTTTTAAAATTTTAATAAAAGGCTGAGGATATAGCACACTCATTGTGAAGGCCCAGGCTACAATTCACAGAAACTTGAATTCGGGAAACACAGGATCTTAAATGTAAAGGCTGTCCTGTTTATTACCAGGCTTCCTGTAAAACAATAGCAAGACTCTCCCCTTATCTCCTAAAACAAGGCGATTTAATTTTTGTAAATGAAGTAATTTGTGATGGTCTGTTAGGTCAAGTATTTGTTCACATTTGTATGCTAAGGTGTCTTCCTCAAGGTCACACAGCCAGTAGATGAACCTGGGTCTTTTGCCACTACTGTTTTCCATTGCTGCCTCCAAGTGATGACTTCAGAGCCCAGGAACACATGTAATGAGAACATGCACAGCTGGTGAAATCTAAGTAAGGTCCAAGTGTCTCTTGGGAATCCACATACACTTAACATCCAAAGCAAATATTCTTTAAAAAGTCTTAGTAAAGGCCTTTGAAAAGACATTAGATTATTTCCTGAATGTTTCATACAAGGTTAAAACAGGCTAATGATTGGATTTCATTGAATGAGTGTTCAGAGTAGGTATCCATACTATTCTCAAACAAGTGAACTTCCTATTTTTCTACTCTTCTCCAGTGTAAGATTAAAAGTAATTAAGCTTTGTTGCTAAAAGGTAGCTATCTGAGTATCTAAACCCTTGCTTACTACTTGTGCTGGAAAGAAGTGATTGAAAAGAAAAGTTACTCAACAAAAATTAGGTCTTTTTATTTAGAAGATGGTGGAGAAGGTTCTAGTACATGGTGTTATTTAGAATTACATTTATGTCTTTGAGATATATGTAAACAATCTATAGATAGAAATCCAGAAAAAAAATAGGGTCATTTATCCAGAAAAAACTAGGTTCCAAAGAGGAGGTAAAAGTACTGGATGACACTGGACCTTGAATGTCACTTTAGCAGCAGAGCTCATTTCTAGGAAAGACATATGATTCCTTGGCATTGTGCTGGAACTTCTATTTTTGTTTCACTTTGTTTTCCTCTTTTATATTAGCTATTTAAAAACATAGATGGCAGTTGTATTATTTTGGCTTGAGATATACTTCAGAAGCAGGTCCTATTTCTGCAAAAGTTTACTGGTGTCAGTCAAGCTTAAAATAAGTGGTTTTTATATCTGGTACAGCCCTGGATATTGCCTCCTTTTGGTAAATTGGAGCTGTGTTTACCCTGGGCATGGACTGTTGTTTGCTTATGGTGGCACTGCATATCCTGAACACAGCCAGCCCTGCCTAGAAAGATTAAGCCATCAAAACCCCCAATATTTTATATTGTTCTTTCTGCTGAGAAAGGAAGTAAGAAGACCTGTATAATTCAGAATCCAACAACTATATTGATAGTAAGCTGCATGTGTGTGATTTGCTTTGTGTTCCTCATTTGTCACTTGTTTACTGAGGTAAATACAGCAAGGAGTATGCTGGCTGTAGACTAGGGGTGCTGATGCTTTAATCACCCTCATCCACCTCCAGTCCCAGGGATTGAACCCAGGGCCTTCATACTACACTACATCCCAAGTACAGTTTTATATTTTGAGTCAGAGTCTTGCTGATTCCTTAAGTTGCCCAGGCTGGGCTTAAACTTGTGAACCTCTTGCCTCAACCTCCTAGAGTTTGGGGTTACAGATGTGCACCACCAACCAAGTCCAGCTTGGAGTACAGACTCTTACGGCCTATTATGCAAGGAATCAAAGTGATATGGTAAAGTTTTCTACTTTAGGATTGAAAACCAGGAAAGGCTAAATAATTTAGGTGTATAATAAATATAGTATATTACAAAATATTTGAAAAGTTCATTTTTCTTATTGTTTCTCTTAAAATTTCTATTTATGTTTATCTTTAGTTTTATCTTCTGACATGTCAGAGAATGTTGAAAATGTTAAGAATTAAATCTTATAAACAGTATATTACTTTTGACTGTAAAGTATTTGAGTTGGATTATTAAATTTATCTTTTTTACTGACATGGCATCTGCTAATTGCTGTTGATGTCGTGGGTGTTACGAACGAAATCGTTGAATCTAGAACATTCTGCTTTAGTAGAGAAAATAAACGGCCCATACTATAATACTTGCAAAAGACTGAAATCCTAGTTTATACTGACATGTCACTGTTCTGCAGTTTAATAAATGCACACAAAAAATGTATCAGGGTTTCATTTTGTGGTACTGGGGATAGAACATAGAGGCTTTCTACAACTGAACTGCATCACAGTCTCATGAATGAATGAATGAATGAATGAATGAATGAATGACAGGATCACAATAAATTTCCCATTCTGGCCTTGAACTTGGATCCTCCTTCAGTTTCCTGAATAGCTAGGATTACAGGCGTACAACACTATGCCTGGCTCAGTGTTTTCTCTTTTAACAATTCCAGAAAGACCCAAGGAGTACCATAATGAAAATCATTTAGCATTTATCGCTCAGAATTGTGTTTCCTTATGTTTTCTCCTTCCCCCACCCCCAAATATATCCAAGGTTTTGTCCTCTTTGAAATACGTAACACTAGTCAGAATTATACAAATTGTGTAAAGAGTATACTAGTCTGTTTCCACTCCAGCTGGATAAGCTTCAGTTCAGTTTGACACTCATCACATATCATTAATGCAGAGCTCAATACAAGTTAAGGGCACAGTCTTCCAGGTGCCACTGCCAGTGCAACTCACACTTCAGGGATCTCCAAATCACTCACCCTTCTGAGTAACTTGCCCACAAGTTTAAAGATTAAGACTCTTGTGAGTCAGTGTGCTGGAACTCATGATATCTCTGTACAGTAATAAAATCACAACTTCTGCCTAGCCAGGAATAGTGGTAGACATCTGTAATCCCAGCACTTGGATGGTGGAAACAGAGGATGCCCATGAGTTTGAGGCCAGCCTGGGCTACATGATAAGTTCAAGGCCAGCCTGAACTACATAGCGAGACTCTATCTCTAAACAAATAAATGAGCAGCTTTATAAGGGATAAGGCCCAGTAACAGACAAATGAAGAAACATATGAAAGAAGTAATGTGGATCTGCCATGTATAGCTGTCCTTGTGCAGTCAAGAGCATCACCTTCCAGAGACACCAACGTGTTTATCAACTAAAAGTCTCCAACAAAGCCCAGTGGCCAGAATTTTTACTAGGCTATCACTATATACTGTTGAATGATTATGTCATTGGCCAAATTAATTGAACATGATTTCCCACCCTGTCCCCTTCTCTGAGGTCAGACTGGTCTGAAGAATATAGTTCAGCCCCAATCATGTGAATCACTTTATTACCATAACATAGGCATTCAACTCAGAAAATTCCAAGGGTGGCTGGGCATGGTGGTGCATGAATCTTAGCACTCAGGAGGCTGAGGTAGGAGGGTCACTAGGAGTTCAAGGCCAGCCTAAACTGCATAGATAAACCCTATCTCAAAAAGATAAAAACAAAAGAAAATTCCAAAGGTTTTGGCACCATAACAACTGGGGTTAAAGGCCAGATTTATTCTTTTTAGGTATATGGGAGAAGGGGACTTAAGGCCTGAACCCAATCTCTTTGCACTGAGCTGCATCCTTTTCCCCACCTTTTTAAACAGTTTCTTTTGAACTAATAATGTTTAGAGAGGATATCATGTCTAAATCTTGTACTATGACTAACTACTACAAAGACAACAATATGCAATGTATTAATTATTGTGACTGTCACTAACCTGTCTTGAAACTGTCTCGTTGCTACTTCATTCTCAAAATTAATATAAAAATAAACTTTTTCCTATTGCACATATTTGCACATTTTGGTCTTTACTTTCTCAGTCTGTCATCAGGGAGACAATGCAATACTTACACATGTAATATCCAAGATACTTCACTTAAGATTGTGGTCTCGAGGTTCATCTGTTTACCTCGAAATGCTTCATTTATCCTCCCTTATGGCTGAGTAGTATTCCACTGGAGGTAAGCAAAGATTTCATGAACAAAACTATAATTGCGTGGGAATTATTACAAATTATTAAATTATTACAACTGGGGTCTCATCTTATTAAAAGGTTTTTCACAGCAAAAGAAATCATCAGTATTCCATCTCACTCCAGAAAGGATGGCTGTCATCAAGAATTCAAGTGATAAGTGTTGGCAGGGCTGTGGGGAAAAAGAAGCCATTCTCCATTGTTCGTGGAAGTGCAGTATGCTGTAACCACTATGAAAATTAGTGTGGAGAGAGTGGAGATTCTTCAAAAAACTAGGATTAGAGATCCTGTTCAACCCAGCTATTCTGCTTGTGGGAGAACTAAAAGCATCAGATCACAGTGATATGTGCACACCCATGTTTATGGCAGCACAGTTTGTAATAACTAAATCTTAGAAACAACGCAAAATGCAGATGAGCCAAGAAATGGATAAAAAAGATGTATGTGTGTGCGCGTGTGTGCATTTTTTTTTAATGCAATGGAGTACTTCCCTTTTTAAGACAGGATCTCCTTAAGACACTAAGTTGCTGAGAAATGGGGCGCAAAATTTAAATACTGCCTCAGCCCTCCAGAGTGTTGGGACTACAGGTGTGTCTCACCATGCCTGCTACACTGACATTTCAAGAAAAACTAGCCAACCAATTTAAACTTATGTTGCACATATACTTCCATCATTTTAATCATTTTAAATTATTGTAATGTATAGTGAAGACAGTATTTTAGAAATCAATGTACCTTTTACTATTTGTTTAATATAGAGTATAAAAAGACGATTTACACATTTTCAGGGGCTCATTGGCTTATAAACAAATTTTTATCAAGTGTATGAAATGTTACTTGGTATTGAGGATGTTAGCTCATTGAAAACATACAGTATCTGTGGCAGTACTCATAACTTGGTCCTGTAATAGTTATACATTTATGTGATCCTCTCCTGTCCAGTTTGGCCAGAATCTATGACTTATTTTTTAACCAATAGGAATATGCCAAAGACAATGGAATGTCATTCGCTTAGTTCACTCTTACTCTTCGGGCCTTAAAGACGTAAGCTGCCAGGTTGTGAACTTTTATGGAGAAAGCTGAATGATGAAGAAGTGTGGATATTCTCCAGAATGAAAGGTTGACAAACAGCAAAAACTTCAAACTCTTGAGTCTTTAACAGTTGCAAGTAAAGGAAGTCTACCAAAACCCTGAAAATGGGTTGTTTTCCATTTATGCTTCTAGATGAAAATTCAGCCGAACTGACAGCTTGTTTGAAATGATATGACGTCATAAAGCAGAAATTCCAGGTTAGCTAGCTTTTTGGAAATTAATACTAAAGGGAAAAAAGGAGAATATGGAGGGGAAACAGACTAGTCTCAAAAGATTTCTTCTTCATATTCTTTTATTTGAACATCGTAGTGAAGCTGCAATTGTAGTGTCCCTTTTTGAAGAGAATACTAGTCTTGAGTTCTGTTCTAAGTTAAATAGGATAATGAATTAGTTTGCTCATTGAGGCTATTAGCAAAAAGAAAAGAAAGCATCAACTGACTTTACTAAAATTTTGCTTCATGCGATCTATTTCTTTCCTGTATTGTTCATTCAAGGAATCCATCATTTTTCTAATCTCCTCTATTTTTTTATCAATATCTTCCTTATAAGCAGTTAGAAATTCTTTTACTGCAGTGTTTTTCTCAGATTGGGCTTCCTGCTTATGTTTCTGCAGTTGCTTCTTTACTTCATCTGCTACGAGTTCTG